AAAAAATTTTTGTCCGGTTTGCATTTTTTTCCTTTTTTTAAACCCCCCCCCCCCCCCTATCTGATTAACAACTCTTTTTGTGTTCCATATAAGAAAAACACTTTTTAATATATAACCTATGCAATTTTAAAAATCCATATTTAATGTTTATTTATAATGTTATTTATTATATAATGTTTATTTCACTCTATTTAGTAACAGGAGAGCGAAAGACACCTGATTTGCATTATTGTAGTATCTAGAATCTAGATATATCAGTTGTCTACCCTGTAGCATTACCCAGGAGTCTTGTCATTGGCAGTATATTTATAAACAGTCACTTATGCATTGCCTAATTTGTGTTCTGCTCATACATATTTCAGTCAAAACACTTCTTGGGTTACTCCCGTATGGCACAGTCCTACAATTATATTGCTAAAATTATATGGATAATCTAGTGAATGGTTTTGGCTATTCCAGTGATTTTTGTGAGGACAAGTGTTACTGCAACAGCATATAATACCATTCTGGAGAATTGTGTGCTTTTAATGTTGTTGCAACCAGTTTGAAGAGTCCATAAAGAAGTGATTGTCTTGTGTGGAAGAACTAACCTTCAGGCTGGAATTGACTACACAAGTTGACAAGTAGGCAGGTTTCACAGATAGTGTATGATAGAATTAAGTCCAGTTTTAGGATTTCAGACATGTTTGATATTTTGAGCGGATTTTAGAACACATGTCGTAGTGCATGTCATGCATATAGCAACAAGGTACGTGTTTTTCTATGTGAGTTTTATGATGTTTAGTGCATGATGCCCAGTTTTTCTCTGTAACCATTTAAGTCAGCAAGTGTATTATGAGTGGCTCAGAGGGAAATGTAATTGTTTACTATTTATGTAAGAAATAATTTTTTGTGTGTGTATTACCTATGGAACGTTCTAAAAATGACTGAAAAAGTTCTGGAAATTCATTGGTCTTGGGACCCTGTAATAGGTTCATACTTCGAATGACTTTTTGAACATCCTTATTTTCAGCATAAACTTAAATGTTTCTGTTTCAAACACGCATAGACTAGTTAATCACAGGTATGACCACTTCAGCTGTCTTTTCATGGGGGTAGAAAAATACCCTCTAAATTAGTTTTGTGAATTGTGCTGGACAATACTATTCTAGATGTTTTCAATCAAAAGTTATTTTTAATGTTGGATTAGGCTAAATCTTGTTTCTTAATGTTTGGAATTCTAAATGGATGAAGTTTTTGTCCTTCAGTGTTTGGTCTCCGGCTCTGAGTCTGTGCTGTTTGTCTGAGGGCACAAAGGAAGTGGATTGGGTTTCCTCATCAGTTTACACTCCCTTCAAAGAGGACATATCAACGTTTACACAGTGTGCATGTGTATATGAGCGTGTCTGTTTGCATGAGGCAAACTAAGTACTCTAGTATGTGGGCTAGTAGGCAAAATATTTCAAATCATAAGTGCCCAAATTCACATCAGTGTACTTGTGTGCTTGTGTAACTGAATTCTAGGCAGATTTGTACACTTTTGTTTTCCAGAATCAAAGAGCATCTTTGCAATTTACTTTTAGTTATGAGTGAGCAGAAAAACATGATGTCTCACACACAAACACACACACACACACACACACACACACACACACTCAAACCGCAGTATATGCTACTGTTCAAAAGTTTGGGGTCAGTAAGATTTATTTATTTTGTTAGTTATTTGAGTTTTTTTTGTTTGTTTATTGGGAAAGAAATTAATGCTTTCATTCAGCAAGGATGAATTAAATTGATCAAAAGTGATGGCAAAATATTTAGAATTATTTATTTTTCAAACAACTGTATCTATTCATCAAAGAGCCCTGAAAAAATGTATCAAGGTTTCCACAAAAATATTAAGCAAGCGTTTTAAAATTTGATAATAAGAAATATTTCTTGAGCACCAAATCAGCATATTCTGAAGGATCATGTGGCATTGAAGACTCGAGTAAAGACAGCTGAAAATTCATCTTTGCCATCACAAAAAATATAAATTTAAATTAAAAAAATATATATTAAAATTAGGGATGCAGGAAATGCATGCTGAGATTAATATTAATAAAACATAAACATAATATTACAACTTATATATATATATACAAAATGATGCAGTTATTGCATGCTATAGTCAGAATGTGTGATCCTGTTGTGGATGCGCTCTTCCCATATCAACGCGCTGAAACATAGCAACTAAACCCAAAGAATGCACAACGTTTTATTATAATAATGTTCTCATTAGAATGTTATATACACAACATTCCCAATCATAGTTATTAATGTTGTGCACTGCTGTTTGAGCTGCGTGCGCTGAGCTAAAGACGATCACCGGTAAACTGAAGCTCTCTTTTAACTTAACCAAACGCATTCTATATGAGATAAATCAGATATACTTCAAATAAACACAATATTACAACGTACAATTGCACAAAAGGCTGCAAACAAACAGCGCGCATCTGAAGTGTCTCTGAAGGAAATAATGCATTATTTATCGGCTTTAAGATATCGGCCAAATTTTCTTATCAGGCCGATACTGATAACAGAAAAACTGAGTATTTATCGGCCGATACCAATATGGTGGCCGATATATCGTGCATCCCTAATTAAAATAGTTTTAAAATTGTAATTATATTTCACAATATTTCTGTGCTTTTGATCAAATAAATGTATTCTCTTTGAGCATATGACACTTATTGGCCTCAAATGTTTGAATGGTAGTGTATAGAATGTAGGTTACTGTGTGACCTAATTTAGTTTTTCCTCAAGTCAGATTACTAACAGTGTCCATTAGATCATCATGCCTCATCCATGATGCTGATACAGGCCTTTGTCATTGGAACTGTTATGTAAAACAGAACAAAAGAAGGCAAAAGGAGTTGGCAACTGACCTCTCAACTGTTTGAAACACTAATCGTGTTTCGGTGCTCACTGAAATGTAATTAAGGGGCATTGCATTGATATTGATACATCATTAATATCAGTGCTTGGTCTCTGAGAGGTTAATGTTCTACAAGTGTTATCTTGAGTTCTAGAATTGTTATCCAGCTGTCACCTAATTATAGTTTTGTTTAAACTGAGTGTAGGTCAGCTAACTGTGTAAAACGGTACAGATATTTGCAACTTGTTTTCACTTTCACAATGGTGACTGTATTAGAAACTTTCATAAACAAGGAAACATGAACCTACTTGAAACTAATGTAAAGTGAATTTGCATATGGCCACTATTATTGATTTTCCTCATTGCACCACCATTGTACTTTACACCAGGTTTATGAGTCTGCAGACAATCGGTTAAATATTAATAGCTGTATACTTTAACCATCATGTGAGACCTGTCAGATCCTTTGAGGTTTGAGGACTAGTCAATAATTGCAAGTTATGTTAGCGCCGATCGCTTCGTGGCCAGCGTGCCGACATACAGCGTCATTGCACTTCGGGCGTTCCGAGTTCGAGACCCGGTTCGTGGACCTTTCCCGATCCCGTCCCCCTCTGTCTCTCTCTCCCACTTCGCTTCCTGTCATCTCTACACTGTCCTATCATAATAAAGGCAAAAACGCCAAAAATAAATCTTTAAACAAAAGCAACAATTGCAAGTCATTTCACTGCTCATGCACAAGTAAAAAAAGTGTTGTTACTCTTTGCAGCTTTCTTTAAACCATGCCCTAGATTTAGCCCATGAAAGAGGGGTCACATCTAAAGTGCTGGTAAATAATGAATGGGCTGCTCTCTGATCCAGCAGTGCTGACTACTTTAGCCTGAAGCCTTTCACATGTTTTTTTTTACTTTTGTATTATTCCTGCTTTTAGTGCTCAGCCATAAACTATACTACAAGACCTAACTGCCAAGCAGTGCACTATTATAAGTATTAAATATGTAGTAAATTTAGATGAAGAAAAAAAACATGATGCTAATTGAAAAGAGTTGATAGTTAAAGTAATTTTAAATTCATGTCTCAACATTCTCAAGTTTTCTGTAATTGTCTTTCTGTCTTATTTTATTTATTTTTCTCTAGGGGTGTGTGTGCATGTGGCCACAGGTGGCGCAAGAGGACCATGGAGCCCGATGTCATCCATTTGTACTCTTCCTCTCCTCCTCCACTGGATGAGGCTGGAGAGGAAGAAGAGGAGGATGAGTTTGGTGAGTTTGGGGGTTTCGATGGTAGAGGGATGTCCTCCAGTTTCTGCTTCTCAGAGCTCAACACGCCCACAACATTCAACCAATCAAACGCACTGGAGGACTCCCCACCTGACCTGTACATCAAATCTGTGCAGAACGTCACTGTATCGGGGAGTGGATGGGATAACGAGAGAAAAATGGTAGGAGAATCAATCAGCGGTGTCAAGAAAACAGAGAAGGAATCGTCTGACATTCTCACAAATGGCATGACGTCCTTCAACCTACAGATGGAGCTCTCTGCTGAATATGGTCAGAACTCTCCCTCGATACTTCCCGATGTCCAAAACAGCAGCACGGGTGATGGACACAGCCTCAGAAATGGCTACAGTGGGTCTTCAAATTCAGAGCAGGACAGAGCTCTTTCCACCTGCTTACAAAGCACAGACACTGAGGAAAGCTCTGGACTAGACGGCAGTGTAGCTGATGTGTTAGACGGAAACCAGTTAATTAACCAAATGGACATCCTGTCAGACTCGAAAAATCACTTATCGCTTAAAGAAGAATCTGAACCTGGAGAGACAGAAACCATACTGGAGTTATGTGGTGACTCCCAGTCATTTACTTCCTGTAGAGATACGCAGGAGGCTGAAGGTGAGCAGGACCAAATGAAGAACTTTGTTGTATGTGGTGACGCAGGCTGTCTTGACATAACCGAAACAGAGACGACCCCCTCATTGGATGTGGATGTAATCTCTGACATACAGCTGAGCGGAAACGCAAGGGAAATTCATGGATCATCTGTAAAGGCAGAGGTGGAAGTAGATGAGGAGGTTGAGACACCCATAGACTCCACAGCCGACGAGGATTTCGGAGATTTAAGAGATGCAACTCAGGGTTCCACAGACTTCAGCCGAACTGAATCTATAACCCAGGAAGGATTTCCTGAATTTGTCACTGCAAGGTCCAGGTGCTCCACAGATGATGAGTTTGGTGACATGGACACCCTGAAGGACTTCAAGGATGACAATGAGCTGGCTGAGGAAGCAGTGGATGATGAAGTAGCTTTTTGTTCAGAGTTGCATCCTAGTGACAGTTTTGCCGACTTTAGTTCAGCTCCGTTTGGAGGTGTGGCGATGGGAAGGGAGGACAGCTGGGCTGCATTTGGACCACCTGAAGCCACTGAAGAGGGTCAGGATTCATGGGCCACATTTGGGGATGAACAGAGTACTTACCTTGGTAAAGAAGAACAAGATGTTGAGACTTCAGTAGCGCCCTCTAGCGACAACCCCCAGAGTAGCACTGTGAGTTGTTAGATGTTAATCACGGTGACATACTTTTGTTCAAGTGAATTGCAGTTCATTAATGGGTTTTAGTCTGACTAAAATCAAACATTTAAAATGTATGAAAGAAGTTTAGATGAACTGCAACCTGTGTTTTGTGTCCCTCGCAGGCTGATTTCAGCTGCAAAATACAGCATCTGTTCAGAACCGCTTTCCCTTCAGACATCCGTCCTGAGGTCAGCGGGGTCACTGAGGTCTTGCCCCTCCACAAATTCCTACAGGCTCAGGAGCAAAGGATTACAAGCAGCTCTTTTACACAGGAGTCAGAGTCTCATCTTGGGTACAATCTTCTCAACTGTCAGGATTCATAGGCTGAATTTGCTTTCAAATGCAATGCAATTCAGTTGGCTTTATATCTCACAATTGTGACTTTATTTGTTATTATTGCGACTTCACATCTCACAATGTGACTTTCTTATTTTAAACTTTATCTCACAATTGTCTGCTTTATTTTTTAGCCTGAGGCGGAGTCCATAAATAGACTAGTGTTTAAATATATCCTGTGTGTTTAGTTTGTCTATAGTTTCAGAGAAAGAACTCAGGGTATGAAGGTCTTGGTTCTTTTATTTCGGCAGGAATGCATTGGCCATGTGGCGCCACCTTCAGGACATCCTCGGCACTCATGGTCTTAAGTACAAGTGGGCTGGTTCCCATAGCAACAGAATACTTCTGGATTGCCTAGGAATCAGGAATATTGTGAGTTCTTGAATGTACATACCTCATAGACATGCAATATTGTTAATTACAAGTGCTTCTTCTCTGATGTGACGTATATTGCTAGTTAGTGTACACTAAAATCAGACAGTCACAGAATTTAGAGCTGTTTTTTTTTTAACTATTACTATTATTGATTTTACTTTTTCACTGTCTTCTTATTCCTCTCATAGTTGTTCACTGGAGATAAGAAGCAGCCAGTGATCGTGCCTATGTTTGCTGCTGGACTGGTAAATTAAGTCATAAACTCCAAAAATATACACTGCCATTCAAAAGTTTGTGGGCAGGATGATTTTTTTTTAAAGAACAATTTTAACAAAAAAATGTATATATATTTTTATATATGTTTTGTTTTCACCAAATATCTGTCCCTTCTTCTTAGGGAATGCTGGAACCCACCAAAGAGTCTCAAAAATCTCCAGCCTCCCCTGCACTTTCCCCTTCTGCTCCTGTGGAGAGTGGAAATATTCTATGCACTCAGGTGAAAAGTGCAGACATACACATAGATGTATAGATACAGATATATTAGTGATCTAATCTTCAGTCTTTAGATTTGTTGTATTTTTGGACATTCTCTCACTCTTAAGTTGGTTGAAAAAGTTTCTAACTCCATGTGTTATCCTGCAGGTGGCATCCTCTTTGGCCATTAGTATTGACGGTATGTCTTTTCGCCGTGCCTCCTTCTCTAGAGTTCAAGAAAAAGCCACTTGCCACTCACGGCAGAAATCCTACTCCTGATGCTGCCTGGCTTATCCCTGTCTGAGCACTTCCTTCATCTCTCACGCTACACTTTTCTTCTCTCCATTTTTCAAACTTCCTGTCCCTTCACAATTCACACACCACTTAGGAAAGTTTCTCTCCTGGTACTTGTTTTATCAGTGTTGATTTAACACAGCACCAACCTACCATTAGCAGAATAATTTGAGAAGTAGCCATCAAAATCTTGTTTATAATCCAAAGAACAGAGAAAAAAATTCTCCCAGTTGTTTGTCTTTCTTCTTGAAACACTATTTAGTCAGCAAAGATATAAATCCATTCATCGTAGTTTCCCTTTTAAATGTTTATTTGTGTTTATATCTTGCCTCTCTCCCATCTTGTTTACTGTTAAAGTCCAGACCCACGTCACTATGCTGTCCAATTTATCAGTGTTGATTTAACACAGCACCAACCTACCATTAGCAGAATAATTTGAGAAGTAGCCATCAAAATCTTGTTTATAATCCAAAGAACAGAGAAAAAAATTCTCCCAGTTGTTTGTCTTTCTTCTTGAAACACTATTTAGTCAGCAAAGATATAAATCCATTCATCGTAGTTTCCTTTTAAATGTTTATTTGTGTTTATATCTTGCCTCTCTCCCATCTTGTTTACTGTTAAAGTCCAGACCCACGTCACTATGCTGTCCACACACAGAGAGGCTGAAATATACTACCTCAGACTATAAGTATGCAGCTTCTACTGTGATTTATTACCTTGCCATTATATGCAAGATTTCAGATAAAGAGAATTATACCCATTATCAAGTATGTTCTCAGTTGTGTTGTCAAAAATACAACCAAATTGGTCCCTGTGCACCAGCTACTGTCTCAGGTTTGACTAAAAAGAGATTGCAAATCTTTTTTGGAATAGCTGAGCTGACCTTATTGCTGGTGCTTACTTGAAGCCATTGCACAGCTCGCCTTGGCTAAAATTAAAGGGGAAACACCACCACATTTTCAAAGATTTACATACAGATGCTACAACAAATTGAGATGCTATTTTAAAATTGTGAAGGTTTAATTATGTAGTCATTTACAGTCAATGTAAATGTATAATTTTGTTTTCCTTCTGATAAAAGCAAAACCTTTTCTTTACTGTCTCAAAAGCCACTGTGACCGGCAGTGAAACATTCGTTGGTGCACTTTTTTGACCAACTTAACTTGCATACTGTGATATACCGCACATGTTATGGGTTCAATACAAGTTCAAGCAACAGAAATTGCAGCATAATGTTGATTACCACAGAAAAATCACTGCAAGAATCTTTGGCTTGTCCTTTCTTGTTCTTATTCTTTGCTTAAAAAACGTTTACAGTTTATTATGGCTGTATTTTTTAAAGCATTGTGTATTAGCTGAGCTGACCTTATTGCTGGTGCTTACTTGAAGCCATTGCACAGCTCGCCTTGGCTAAAATTAAAGGGGAAACACCACCACATTTTCAAAGATTTACATACAGATGCTACAACAAATTGAGATGCTATTTTAAAATTGTGAAGGTTTAATTATGTAGTCATTTACAGTCAATGTAAATGTATAATTTTGTTTTCCTTCTGATAAAAGCAAAACCTTTTCTTTACTGTCTCAAAAGCCACTGTGACCGGCAGTGAAACATTCGTTGGTGCACTTTTTTGACCAACTTAACTTGCATACTGTGATATACCGCAAATGTTATGGGTTCAATACAAGTTCAAGCAACAGAAATTGCAGCATAATGTTGATTACCACAGAAAAAATCTTTGGCTTGTCCTTTCTTTTTCTTATTCTTTGCTTAAAAAACGTTTACAGTTTATTATGGCTGTATTTTTTAAAGCATTTAAATAGAAACAGTTAAGCACTGACTTAACTGTTTCTATTAAGACTTTCTCCCAGTGCAGTTGCCTTGATATTTTGCTTTTTATTGAGGAACGAGTCAATTATTTTTAGTGATAATCAGCATTATGCCACAAATGTTGTCAAGCTTTAATTAAGAAATCCAGAACATTTCTTTAACCAAAATGATTGACCTTGATTTCTTTTTCTGGATAGTAATTTTTTTCCACTTAGTTTGCACCGAATTGTTATTAAATATGTCAATAAATATATTATACTACAGTATGACTATAGTTTCTCTATTCTGTTCATGGCTTGCTTTCATCTCCTGTCTTATTCTCTTTACTTTTTCTTGCCCTGTTGCTCCTAATACAAATTTCCTGGTGATGATCTGCTGTTATACATGTACATTACTGTTCAGAAGTTTGGGGTTGGTAAGTTTTTGTTTGTTTGTTTGTTTGTTTTTTTATTATTTAAAGAAAATGCAGTAAAAACCATTCAACGTAACTGTTTCTATTTTAAAATATTAAAAAATTTAATTTATTTCTGTGAGTAAGCTGAATTTTCAGCAGCCATTGTATTGTGATCCTTCAGAAATCATTCTAATATGCTGATTTGGTGTTCAAGAATATTTTCTTAATATCAATGCTAAAAACAGCTTCATATTTTTGTGGAAACCATGATACATTTTTTTCAGGAGTCTTTGATAATATAAAGTTCAACTACATTTATTTAAAATAGAAATCCTTTGTTACTATGTAGAAGTCTTTACTGTCTCTTTTAAACAATTGAATGCATCCATGCCGAATAAAAAATCGCACTGACCCAAAACCTTTGAATGGTAGTGCGTATAATATTGTTAATATATTGTGGGTATGCTTAACTACTAACTACCCTTACTACCCTCTATGTCCTGCTGTCATTGCTGCTGCTCTCATGTGAAGCACTAGATGGTGGAATATCAAAGCTAAATTTGGACTATTTTGGCCCTGTGGAAGAATGTAGCTCAGATAGTGAAACTGACACTCCACTACCAGGTTAGAACAGAAAAGGTTTGTCTCAGAGAAGTGAGTGGTTTGCTGTGAAACCTTCTTTCCTTCCTGTTCCCATGTGTCTGTGATTTTGAAATCAGTCTTTAGTGAAGCTTGTCATCTTTAGCATTTGTTCGTAGTCTAGTGTTCTGTCCTTGGCTTCCTCTCTCTGCACTTTCTTACAGTATCTGCCTCTGTGAGTATCTCTTTTTTTCTTCTTCCTTTAAATCTAATACACTATTGAGTGATTTGCCTCTGTGTTTCTGAAAAATTACCTTAAAGGTGAAAATTATCTTAAGTGTTTCTGCGATCCTGTTTACATAGTTTCACTGTATTTACTGTCACATGTAAGTTTTAAGCACGACAAGGAAATGAAAACAATGTGTCTGCGTATTTGTCTCTTTTAATTTATTTATATATATATATTTCTGTTTATTTAGGTGTTGATCCAGAGATATATGAACTGACTACAGCTAAAATGGAGAACACCAGTGGTCGCAACATTACAGATGCATTTACAAAACTTATGGAGTCTATGGAGAAAACCAGAACAACGGCCAGGTTAGACATGTGCATGAATGAATGCATACACTTTTAATATGCCTTAACATGATGAGCACAACTACATGGCTACTTTACAGCTAAAGAGCTTTAGAAAAATCAAAATAGGGTGTGACCCTGCTGCAATTACTGAGAAAATGCTCATTCTTTCTGTTTGTTTGACAGGAAGCCAGAAAGAGATGAAAAGATAAGCGAAGAAGCAGCAAAGGTCATCTCTCTTCTCCCTGACCTGTCCTTCATGCAGGCCAGGGTCCTAATGTTCCCCTCCATCCTAACTCCAGCAGCCAATCACATATAACCGAACATGGCATCAGCCAATCACCTTGTGGCCTCATCATTCATTGACAGTTCCAAAAACAGCTCAAGTCACTGTTTGTTCCATAAAAAAAAAATCACATTTAATATAAAGATTGAATCTTTTAAAAGCTACCTATTTCTTCACTTTCACAGTTGTTATTTTTTTTAAAAACTGGATTGAATTGTCCTGGAATATGTGAAAATGTCCCTGATGATTTATCTTTAGCAGTAAAGACACTTCATCTTTTATATACACAGTATTTAGAATAGCATATTCACCTTTTATGTATGATATATGACTTGTTTATTATGGTTTTATTTTTGAGTGCTGTTTGTGAAAATGGGAGTTATTTTCAATGAGGTGAAATGCAGAATTGCACATTTTACTACTTGAAACCAGAGACTTTAAATGAATACTGACCCCTGGTTGCTATAATATATGTATATATATATATATATATATATATATATATATATATTAGTATGTGCTTTTTTTCTTTTTATTTCTCTGTATTGTTTTAAATTTCATTCAGTTCAGTGCTTTCTTTAATTGATATGTAACTACCTGTTTTTAGGTCGTTGTTCACCTTTATCTTCTAACCATCCTTTCCTTTTTACTTCCAGTAGTTGTTTTATCACAACTGACAAGCACACGAGAAAATACTATATTATAATGCAGTTTTGATATCTTCAGTAAGGGAACTGCTTCTTTCTGCATGTCTGCTTTTTTACTTGTGTTTTGGTTGTTTGTCTTATTAATGTCTTGTCACTGTATTATTTTTAAGGTGGAGCTTTCGCACAATCGCATATATTATGAAAATGACAGCAGTACTATGGCATCTTAAAGAAAAGATGGTTTGTACCGTTTCTGTGAGGAAAAAAGTGTGTAAAGGAAGTAGTGTTTTTGTCTTCTGTTTTACATTGTATAGTTTAAAGTTTAACATCAATAAAAAGGCACAAAAATAGTATTCTTTTTGGATGGTTTTCAGCGTTTAAGATCTGCTCACTGGTGAATTGTCTATCAGGACGGTGTTGCTGTTTATATATTTTCTGTTCTTTTCTCCTGTATGTTCACATTAGTGCTACTATATCAGTTTAGATATATGACTTATCTTTCCTTTTCCCCTCTCTCCCATATTTGTTATGCATATCTATGTTTCATGCAAATAAACATGTTAATACTCAAGAGTGATTTTCTCCCCCAGAGGGAAACGACCTAGATTGGTGCGCAGCTACACTAATCTACACTAATCACAGTTGTCTGAATAAGACACTCCAAAAGGCGCACAGACAGGTGATCAGAATAATATTTAATGCTGTTTACTTGCAGTTCAACTCTGCAGTATAGAACATGCAGTTAAACTCTGATCTGGAGCAGAATGAGTTAAACGGCTCATCTGCGCGCACTGAGCCGAGCGCAGCTCCTCACCGGCAGCACCTCGATGCCCGGCCCGGTAATCATGTCCGGTAATGGAACAGAGGAAACGCCTGACGAAGGCACGGAGATGGAGCAAAAAGTGAGTTATTGTGTTTTTTCTTAATTTGTATGTTTACATTTTACTCCGAGTCTGCATGAGTGGATACGATGTGTCAACGTGCAAACGATGTAATGTAGGCTATGTTATGTTTTGATGCCGGTCTCTTTTTGAGACTCGAATCCTATATAAAGCAGTCATTAACTGCGATTTTCTACAGGCGTTCGTGCATGTTTGTTAGGTTTAGATAGATGTGGCGAGCAGAAGACGGATTGGTCTACTGCTGCAGTGTCTCCCCATGACGCAGAGCCGGAATGTAACAAGAGATGACCGTGCGAATCGTTCTTTTGAGTCGGATCTTTTCATTGAATCGGCTGAACTAGATTAAAAAGACGGTCTAATGAAAGTACAATTATATGAATGATGGCTTACCATCACAGATAAGAAACACAGTTATAGTATTTTATCTTAACGACCAAAAACTAATTCAACCAAGAGGTGTAAAATCATTTTAAAATGTCTTTATTTTAAGTGCAAATTATATTTAGGTTCTAAATTACTTTATATTTTATGCGCTGAATCGTGCAACAAATTGATATCGGACGCATTAAACTAAAACAAACACCCTTACACAGCATAATTAAAAAGTAATAAACAGATTTTTGTGCCTATATATAACTTCTTTATTGGGGCTCTTATGCCACGCGATGGTGTAATTGCGGCAGGGGGCAAAATAATTTCTGAATCGGGCTTTTAACCAGGTATTTAAAACGAACTGTTCCAAAGAAATGAATCAGACTCCCCATCACTACGAAGCAGTGAACAATTTCAACAAACCGCTTCAACTAAGAAAACTCTTTGTTGTAATTGTAAGTTGTTATCACCGAGGGATTGCTTTCTTTAAGGTGTTTGTTGCATGTGTCTGTAGAAATGCAGCATGGAGACTTCGTTATTTTCCCCACCTGTATTCCGACAATGCTGCTCTTTGCTGTACCACTTTTGCTATGAGTGCTATGGCTATTTGAGCGACTTCTCAACTGCCCAATCACAGATTGCGTCTGTATGGCTTCTCATAATCGGATTGGCTAGTGAGGGGAGGCCGACCGCTCAGGGGGCGGGTCTTGTCGGTACTAGAAGAGACAAATAACACTCGCAGCTACTGTCAGCCTGTAGCCGGCGGTTATAAACGCTGCGCATCGCTGCACCTGTCATGAAATAACGCTGCGACAAAAAAACAGCGTTTCACAACCGGACGTCTGGACTGTTCATTTAATCGACGTGATTTGTCTTCAAGGATTGTAAAGCCGCCTTGGTATAAAATCTATTTTTATTTCTAAAGTTTGAGTAGATATAGGTTTTAACCGTTTTAACGGCTGTGCATAAAACCTATTTCATCTTCTGGTATCTTGTGCTTTGTATACTGTTGTAATTTATCTTTAAAATTGAATTTATTCGTTAAAATATAATTAAAGAACTGATGGTTGCATGCAAATAGGTAAGTAGTTGGAAAGTTTGTCTGAAGGACCCAACCAGCTCGTGAAGCTCCTGTCAGGTGCTGTGACAGAGGGAGGCGCTTCCTCCAAAACAATGAAGAAATTGAAAAACAAACCAGTTCAGCTGCTCAGAATGACTGTGTAGTAACGAAATTGTCAGCTGATTTCCACGATGGCTCCTTAAATCACCTTAAATATTCTGAGTGCGGTTTAAACACATAGATAGGTTGATGACAATTAAAGATGTCCAAGACGATAAAAAGTATAGCCTACTTTAAAATACGTGTTTTTTTTCTAGAAATAATAATAAAAAGATTATGTCAAACTACAGGTCAGAATTTCAGCCTTTTAAAAAGACAGTCTCCAGACAGTTACATCACCAAAACATTTTTGACATTTTTATTTATTTTTAAAAATTATTTTAATTCAGAATCTGGAAACGTGTTCTTCATATCGGTATATAGTCATTTTCTAAATGCATTTCTTAGTGTATTTTTGAATAATTTTATGATAATAAATCAAATTTGTTATCATAAATTTATCTTAAATAATTAAGACCCGGTTTCAGCGGGTCTTAAAAATTCTAAAAGTATTACATTTAAGCCCCGTTCACACCAAGAACGATAACTATAAAGATAAAGATATTAGCGTCCACACCAGCGAACAATGTCGTCTGTTTATTTTAAGCGCAAGCTGGCTGTCAATTTTTTTTATCGTTCATCAGCTGGAAAAAAATAATTTTGAATGTGATTCCAATTATATCATTTCTCTTTGTCTTTATCGTTATAGTTGTGGTGTGGACTCTGCTGTTCTTTAATATTGAGAAAGATTTTTTGAACTATATATTTATCAATATCTTTATAGTTATCGTCCTTGGTGTGAACGGGCCTTTAGTTGTGTCAAATTTAAGGCCATAAAAAGTCTTAAATGGTACAAGAAATTCTTAATTATGATTTCAAGAGGTCTTAAATTTGGGGACAGAATGACAAGAATTGCTATTGGCTTATAGCTTTATGATTAAACTTTGAAAGGCTATGATTTCAATAAATATGAGCGCTGCAGGTCAGGTGTACTGCGATTACCGGGTTTTTTTCTGCCGTTCCGAAAGTGCCCCCTGCTGGCAGAAAATGAATTTGCATTTTCAGTAAGCCAGTCTGCTGTTATATTTTTACCCAGCAAACACGCAGTAGTAAATGTGAACCGGTGGATCGACAAGAAGCTAATGCTAAAGCATTGTAAAAATCCAAACAATTAAGATACTAAGAAATATTTTAATACTATTAAATTAATCTAACTGACTGATAATAATGATTTAAATTAATATAATAATTGACACTTTTGACTCTTTCCTTATAAATTATTTAAAGTTTGAAATGTGAAGTTTATCATTTTATAAAAGTTTTTGTTTTGTGAAAACCTGTATCTGAACTGTAAATCATGTTTTTACAGTCATTTTACAGTTTAATGTTACCATAGCCATTGCCCTACCCCGCTCATGTGGTATTAATTTTATTTGTGCAGGTCTTAAAAAAGGTCTTTAAAAAGTCTTAAATATGATTTAAAAAATCCTGCAGATACCCTGGTTCTGTTCAGATATGCTAAAATCTTCGTCATCAGTCTTCCTTTCTCCAGGAGAGTCTTAACGCAAGGATTAGAGATCTTGATAGTGTTTGTGTGTGTTTTGTGATGAAACATTTGGGATTAAGTGTGCAGAGATTGAGCGAGAATGACAGATTCTGTGGAAGGAAGGAGAGATTACAGTTCTGATGTCCCAGTTTGCTCCATCGGTATAGGATACTCAGTTACAGAATCTGAGCTGTTGCTAAGAAACAAATATAAGGATCACAAATAAGGCATCATATTTAGTTTTGTGTTAACAATGTAAGTCGTGTAGTCTGTGACGTTGTTATAGACAACACAACAAAGACATTTCCTTTAACACTTTTCAGGGTCTAAGCAGAATTTGTCTGAAACAAATGGAAATGTCTCCTGTTTAATTTTTGTTTCTTTACATATTTAAAGCTGATTTGGATGCATGTATTTTTTTCTACTGTGGTTGAAATATTTATTTTGAGTTGATTTAATTTTTTTTAAATGTAGCACTTGGAAAGCAGTACTATGAAGACTGACTTGGAGGCCGGGAATTGCAGCGCTGCAATCCACTGTCATGATGTGTGTCGTTCATATGGGAAACTTAAAGTCCTCAACAATCTCAATCTGACAGTGCCTCAGGGCCAAATGTGAGTCCAGAATTTTGGCTTTCTAAATGTGTTTTCAAGCTACACCAATCTTGAATGTTCACTTTAAGCAAGATAACATGCCTAAATGCCGACCTGATGTTCATGTGACATGTCCCTGCCACATCCCTTAGGTTTTCTGCACTAGTAGCACAACAAACCTCTAAAATACTCCATACTGAGGGGCTAGAGAATCCAACACCTGGCCTTTGA